CCCGTGTCCCCTGCATCGGCAGGCGGACTCTCAACCACTGCGCCACGAGGGAAGCCCTGTACTTTTTAAAGTTAATTATTTATTTATTTATTTGGTTGCACTGGGTCTTAGTTGCGGCATGTGAGATCTAGTTCCCAGACCAGGGATAGAACCCAGGCCCCCTGCATTGGAAGCATGGAGTCTTAACCACTGGACCACCAGGTTAGTCCCTATTTTAGTACTTTAAATTCTGTAATATTGTCCGGTCTATGGACAATACTGGTACTGGTATGAACCAGTACCACATTTTACAAGACCAGGGATAGAACCCAGGCCCCCTGCATTGGAAGCATGGAGTCTTAACCACTGGACCACCAGGTTAGTCCCTATTTTAGTACTTTAAATTCTGTAATATTGTCCGGTCTATGGACAATACTGGTACTGGTATGAACCAGTACCACATTTTACATGAATACATAATAGCTAGTCGTAAATGGGTGCCCTGACACAGAAGACCTTCACTTGGGTAGGGCTTCTTACAAGCTAGTGAGCTGCTGCTTCTTAAAAGACTGAATAATTCCCAATATAATGGCACATGAATATTCACTTCTATTAGACTTCCAGAGTTCCACTTTCAGTAGATGACAGACTAGGTAGTTCAGACCAACTTTCCCACTAAAAACAACTAGAACACCTGGATAGAATATTTATTTAAAAATATCCTCATAGACACCAGAGAGATAAAAGGCAGTGAGGAGTTACAGAGACCCCATCTGGGAGAGGATAGGAGTCCAGAATGGGGCCTGATATTTGGGGATGCTTTACCCCCTGAGGTATCTGCTAATTACAGTCAAGGCAATTTGAGAGTCTAAGAGACTTAGCAGAGCTTCTGACAGCTCATGGGGCTAGAGAAAAAATGGACTCCAGGGTCCCCCAAAGAAAAGAGATTCTGGTAACCACCCCGCCCCCACCCCAGGCTTAGGGTTGGGAGACTCAAAAGGGTTGTGCCCTAATGGGACTAGTAAGCCAGAAAAAGACCAGCCAGCTCCAAATCCTCTCAGTCATGAATAAAATTATTCTGAGATTTCTTTCGCTAAACAGTCATAAAAAGCACTAAGTATAAAGGAAAATGTTGATAATTGCTAAAGGACCATATTAAAGTGAAGATTTTCTTTTCCTCAAAAGCCACTACTAAGACTGAAAAAGCAAACCACAGAGTATGAGAAGATATTTGCAATGTATATAATAGAGAAAGAACTTGTACTCAGAATAGTTTTTTCAAAAACTCCTATAAATCAATAAGGAAAAAAATAATTCAACAGAAAAAAATTACAAGAGGCCTGAACAGATTTTTCAAAAGAAGATATCTAAATGGCCAGTAAACATCAGAAGTGCTGAACCTCATTAGTCACCAGGGAATTGGAGAGAAATGAGATAGCGCTAAACTTACCCACTAGAATGGCTAAAATAAAAAACAATGACTACTAAATGTTGACAAGAATGCAGAGAAACTACAACTCTCCTATGCTGACTGTGAGTACGTAACTGTTAACAACCCTTTGGAAAATTCTTTGGCAATAACTACTGTATTAGAACTTACAAATGCACTACAATTCAGCAATTTTACTTCTAGATACATACCCAACAGAAAGGCATGCATGTGCACAACAAGAGACATATATAAGAATGTTCACAGAGTATTATTCATAATAAAAAAAAAAACCATGAAACAACCAAGATGTCCACCAACAGTAGAATAGAAAACTAAATTGTGATATATCCATACAAAAGAATATTGTACATAGAAACATAAATAAATGAACTTTAGCTACATGCAACAACACAGATGAATCTTACAAACATTGTGTTGAATGAAAGAAACCAGACATAAAACAAGACGTACCACATGACACTATTTATATGAAGTTCAAAAACAGGCAGAATTCATTTATGATATTAAAAGTCACAGTAGTGGTTACTTGTAGGCAGAAAACAAGAGGGAGTGAATGGGAAGAGGCACAAGGATGCTAGGGTGATAGCAATGTTCTATTTCTTAACCTTGGTAATGTTCACTTTGTGATACCTTCATAGAATTGTACGGTTATGATTTGTGCATTTTTCTGTATATGTTATATTTTAATAAAAGGTTTTTTAAAACTTATCAGACTAGAGAAAAATAATAAGCTTTCAAGATATTATAAAAATTAATAACATGACAGCTACTATTTCTTGATCATCTGCTATGTGTCAGATGCTATACATTCACATATTTTATTATCTAATCTCCAAAACAACCTTTCAAAGTAGGAATTAGTCTCCCCAATTTACAGATCAAAAAACTGATGCTCAAGAAGTTTAAGGAGCTCACTCAAGGTCATACAGCTAATAAATGGTGGAGTACAAATTGGAATCCAAGTGTGATTTCAGAATTAAGCCCAATTTCAGAATTAATGCCAAACTATTTTATAAAGTATGTAAGTCTTAGAAGGTTTCCAGCCTCCTTTGTTACCAAGCTCTTTCCTACGTCCCAGCCCACTCCCTCTGCATTCCCCCAAGTTCATAACCACTACCCTTACCCCCATCACTTACTAACTCTACACTCCGGTAATTGTAAACTACTTGCAGTTTCCTGAACAATCCAGGCTCTATCTGAGCTTCATGTCTTTACATGTGCTGCTCCCTCACCTTAGAATGTGTTCCTCCAACCTCTTCCCCCACCTCCCAACACTTTGGCTTAATTCATTAGACCTTAAATATCTAAGACAAGACTACATTCTTCAAAAATCTTTCCCTGATCTGACCCATCCTCCCTATCTACTTCTATAGCACCCTGCACACACCACTTGTCATACCATTTATCATACCACAGTGTAACATTTAGGTTTCCGTCTTTCTACCTGAGATGATAAACTCTTTGAGAGAAAGAGCCATTTACCACTTTTATTCCACTTTGTATCCCCTGCATCTAGAACAGTGCCTGGCACATAGTAGCCCTCCATTTTAGTTGAACAAATAAATAATTTTAATATCATAATTAAAACCAAACAAAATGTTGAAAGTACCACTAAATCATTAACAGAATTTCTACTACAGTTGAATTATAGCCTGCATTTGTATGTTTTTGTTGGCATAGGCTTTGCAAAGAATACTTAAACAGATACTCACTATTTCATAAAATACACAATGCAGAGTATTTTTCCCATCTCTCAGACGAAAAGTCTTTGAACAATATGGGCCAGGTGTAACAGCTGAATCGAGAACAGCTAAGCAACATTGAAATAGAGGGGGAAAAAATCAGTGTTGGTAAAATGCAAATAAAGTTTAACAAAGAGAAGTTGATATTTAAATAGCTATTCCCACACCAACCTCTCATAGTTTTGTTTATACATTAATAAGAAAACATCTGAAGAGGGAAAGATATTTCTGAAACTGTTTTATTCTAAGGAAGGCAAAATTTCTGGCCCTCTCCAATCTAGGATCAGGTTATATGACAAAGTTTATACAACTGACAATAGCTGGCCATCTGAAGCTTTTTTCTTTGAGTGTGTTTGATGGAGTGGTTAAATCCTCAGACCAGTCTACTACATTACAGTAAACAAAATACACAAGTATAACAAATAAACAGCATGGTTTAATGAAAAAAAAAAGCACTGAATCGGAATCAGAAGTCATGCAACTGAGTCTCAGTTCTTCAACTTACTAAATCGAACAACTGTTTAACCTCTTTCAAATCTGTTTCATCTATAAGATTCAAATGATAATTCATGTTTATCTCAAGAAATTACTATCAAACGAGACCATTATTCATTCCTTTAATAACCATCTATTAGGTACTGACAGTGAACATTTGTTATTTTGAGGTCAGCCTCCATTTCCCCTAATAATGCCCAGATTTTCCTTTAGGAAATCTCTCCTATGCCATTCTTAGCCATATGATTTGGATGGGATTTGTCCCCACCCCTAGGCCCAGGAGTAACCTGAGACTGATGTAAGCCAGTCAATGTACCCGCTTCCTCAGCTACAGAGCTCAGGGTTGCAGTGATGGGCTTGTTGCCCTGTCAGAAATGATGATACGCAAGGGGTCATTTGCTAGTTTCTGGGAACGAGCAACCAGAAGAAACTATCAAAGAATGTGACTGTGGTATAAGGAAGAATGTGTGGTATAGAGAATTCTGATAATCTTCTTAATGTCATAAGGGAAGAGTCCATAATTGGAGCCTCAGGATGAAGCCAACACTAACAGGATAGAAAGATGGCTAAATCTCCGAAACATAATGCCGATGAAAATGTAAACTCTATATTTTAAAACACATAAAACAGTAAATAAATATATATAAATTTATGAAATCAGATGTATAGAGTAAAATTATAAAAGCATGGAAAGGAAAGATACCACAGTGGTTATCTCTAGAGAAGAAGAGAAATGGATAGCGGTTTTCAAAGATATCTATAACATAGGTAGGTGGATATTTATTCTCTGTATTTTTCTGCATGTTTAAAATATTTCATAATTTAAATGAAATATTTTATTTAACCTATGGAAAGAAATAGGTTTTGAATCTCCACTTCTTGTTTATCTCTTCAGTCTAAGTAAAATTAAATTCCAGAAACATTTTACAAAACTCTCCTCCCTTTTAAATATTAATTTAGAAAACAGGCTAATTGTAGGGTGTTTACTCATATCAGTAAAGGGTTCTTCACAAATGTTCTTTCGGAATATTTGATTTATAATTTAACTTATATACAAAATTACTACTGGATTTAGTGTGATATAGTAGAAAGAACACTCTATTGAGAATAAGAAGACTTGGAGTCTAGATCCATTTCTGCTGCTAACTAGCATTATGATTTTTAGTCAAGTCTATTTTAATTTTCTGCCCCACTTCCTCACCTACCTCAAGGGTTGGGTTAGATTACTTTTAAGAATCTTTCCATTTTTGACATTATGAATTAGAATTCTTCTACCATGAATAATCAAATACATCTTATGTCACACAAATCTATGAGAGATACAGGATCTGAAGAAAATCCTAATAAACCATAATCTCCTTTTATAAAATTTTACTTTCCTTTAAGATCCCCTAGGTATTCCTATTAACATTCAAACTTATTGTCCAAATGGTATTACCGAAGCATTTTTGAAGCAGTGTGTACCCACCTAGTATTTCAAAAACAAGGACAGTTTCCTGTGCATGTTCACACCAGTACTTCATGCTTTCAATAACTGCAGATATAATTCTCAAAGAATTCTCTTTCTCCTTAAGCTTTAACGGATACAATGATGCTTCCTTTTGAAAAAATGAAAACACAGCATTAGAAAAACCTGTCATTTTTTTCGTCATACTCATTCACTTTTCTTTGTAAAGATTCTAGGTCCTTATAATAGGCAAATGTGTAAAATATGTTAAAAGACTATGTAAAATATGTAAAAGGAACTATTGACAATTTTAGTACAGTCACTCCCCTAAATTAAAGGCATCACTAGTACTTTATAAAGGAGGAGAAACTAGAATGCACTTGGAGAAAATTAATCAAGAAGAGGATTATTTTTTTTCTTTTTAATCTCTGTTTTATATGGGCATTTATTCACTCATTCATTTGTCGATTCTTTGAATATTTTTAAAGCATCATGTGCCAACCCTGTGATAAACACAGGTGAGTAAAACACAATTCCTTTCCCTAATGTGCTCACACTCTAAGAGGGAACCCAGACACATTCATTCATTCATTCATTCCAAAAGTACTTATTGGCACCTACTACGTGCCAAACATAGCTAATGAGGAAACAGTACTGAACAAAACAGACAATCTATCTACCTTCAGAGACTGTACAGTCTAATAGGGGATTCAGAAAATAAATAAATATAGAATGTCAGGAATTGCTATATCCTATGCATTAAAAAAAAATAAACAGGGTAAAAGGATAAAAAGAGACAGGGGTTATTATTTTAAATAGGTTGTTGAGTGAGGACTGCGTGAACAGCAAGTTTAAAGGCCTTGAGATGGGAATGTGTTTGGCATTTTTAAAGATCAACTAAAAGGGTGGAATGGCCAAGATGGCAGAGTAGGAAGACCCTGAGCCCACCTTCTCCCATGGCCACACCAAAATTACAACTATTTACAGAGCAGTTATTGATGAGAAAAACCAGAAGACTAGCAGATAAGAAATTCTACAACTGAAGATATAAAGAAAGAACCACAACAAGACTGGTAGGAGGGAAGATACAAGGTATAGTCAAGACCCATACCCCCAGGGTGGGCAACCCACAAATGGGAGGTTAATTGCAATCACAGAGGACCAGGACCTGGCCTCGCCCACCAGCCTGTTGGACCAGTACTGGCAAGCCTCAGGCCAAGAAAGTAGGCAGGCCTACAAGAAAGAGGAAGGAAGGCAGGGAGGGAGAGAGGAAAAGAAAGCCTGATGACATAAGGTCATACAAAAATAAAAGTTGAACTAGTTAACTAAAATTTTAAAAGATCAACTAAGAATACAGTGTGCTAAGATACTAATTTTGGGGGAGGGGGCACCTTCCTTCATGAGGGCGGTGGCATATCCAAGAACACTTGATGGAACATTTTTTTCCAACTACAATTACCTTCCCTCCTCTTCCCCATTCCTAACGAAGATATGAATGCTTCCTGTTGAGGATTACTGCCTTAATGAGCCACTGTTACTAAGGTGACTATCATATCATTCTTGTGTACAAGGAAACAAGGTTGAGAACCACTGTGGAACATGCAATATTAGTCATATTTCCCGAAAACAAAATTTACCCCAGATGGCTTATTGAAAAAACTGCTTACAGGTGTATGGGCAGAATAAACATAGGGTACTTAAGCACTCAAAGACTAACAACAATAAGAAACTTCTACCACTCCTAGGCTGAAAGGACAAGAGGAGGAAATAAAATTACCAAGCCTGTGAAATCTGGACTTACGGAGGGGCCACATCATGCAGGGACACAGCTACCACCTGAGACACAACACTTAAGCCAGGGGGGAATGGGAAAACCCAACCTCTCTCTCTACCCTTTGATGTCTTGCCTGGGACTTCCACTCCCACTGGCTGACTCCTAACAGAAGCCAGCTAATGGATCCCAGAATGATGCACTATGTAGGACCATTCAGCCTTCCAGAACACAGACAAGGGCTGAGGATAAAGAATCTATTAGACCAGGTGGCGAGCAAGGGAAGATAGCAAACAGCCAGAACATATATGAAAGACATTTACAAAGAATGACTAGAATGAGAGGTGGAGAGAGGAAATAAGGCTGAGGCACAGGTATGGGGAAGAATATAAACCAAAGCAGAGTCATATTAGAGTGCGTTTAGAGAATTGTGAAGAGTCTGAAATGGCTGGAGCATTGAAGAATTAGTGAAATATGGAATACGAATCTGTAAATGTATATAAGACCAGATTATAGAGCAGAAGTCAGCAAACTACGGCCTGCAGGCCAAATCTAATCTGCTATGTTTTGGGGTAAATTTTCATTGGAACTCAGCCACACCAATTAATTTATGAATTACCTATGGCTGCTTTTAAGGTACAACAGCAGAGTTGAGTGGTATAGTTGAGTACTTGCAAGAGAGACAATATGGCCCATAAAGCCAAAAATATTTACTATCTAACCCTCCACAGAAAAAGTTTGCTGACCCCTATTTAAAAAAAAAAAAGAGTGACATATGAAGAAATGAAGAATTGCTGCAAGCAATGGATAAACTATCATCATCTCAATAATTAGCAAACAGTGAAATTCAGAACCTGGTAGGAAATTCTAAAGCAACTCTGAAAAGCAGCAGCCATTCACAACCTCTAAGAAAATATTTTGGACACTAACATATATCTACTCCAACAGAACTGGGTATTTGTGCTAATCAAGTAACGTATACCAGGGGAGTGATTTCAAATGCTCTTATCTCTGCAATTTTCTAAATACTTATCTCATTTTTTTAATGTAAATACAAAAATGCAAATAATATTTAAAAGTTTACCTTGAGGGTGTTTTCTTCTGGAAAACCATCCAACATTTTTTTCTTACGTTGATTTTGTTGAAAATTGGGCTTAAATGCCTGTAATGAACCGTTTCTGTCTAGACTTCTCATTGTGGAGCCAGATATTTTTGACGAATGTGTTTGTGTGAGTACTTCACTTTCTCTTTGGTGAGATAAGTTAGTAGATTCATATACTCTTAATTGTTTCCATTGTTGAGCTCCCAAATTCACTGGACATGAATTTATTCCATTATTTGTCATTAGATTTGTTCTTTTGCACTGAGGCTTAAAATCATTTCTATCCCAAGTTTTTAAAGTGGTATTTTTGTTGCCGTCTCTGTAGCTGAAATAGTTTTGTTTTTTAAATTAGTATTAATTTTGTTTCTATGTACTTTTTCTTAAGTGAAAATTATTAATGAAAATTTGCATTTACATGGTAATTTGTGGTTTATAAACTACTTTGTAATCACTGACCAGTTAGAAATTCCAAATACATCATCACAACAACCCTACAATATATTATACCTCTCTTGGTGAGGAAACTGAGTCTTGAGGAGGAAGTAACTTGCCCAAAGTCATATAGCAAGTTACTGACAATCCAAAACCCAGAGAATCCTAGTCTCCCAACTCAAAGTCCAGTGCCATAGAGTATATTTCTAAATTATACAAGCCTTCATATGACAGTGGTTATGAACCCTCAGGGGCCACGGCAGTGAAAGCACCGAGTCCTAATCACTGGACCACCAGGGAACTCCCTGCTTCCTTCTTTATACATTTATTTTTTAATTTTCTACAAAGTAAAATTTTCAAACGTTAAACTATTGCTCGTCAGTGATTTTAAATCACAAGCAAAATAGATATAGACAGGGTAGGTAGCTGTTTGATTAGAAATTTTGTACTTTTACTGTGTAGCTTAAAAACTCTACTTATGAACATGTTTCAGCATTTTACTAGCTACATTAACCTAAGTGAGCCGTACCAGTTCATCAGAACATGATGTTAATGAGGCCAAAATCAAAAGTATAATTTCTGAGCAGGCTAGTTAAGAGTTCCACAGGGAAAAACTAGTCTAAGTCACAAATGCTTATTCCTGAATAATTTTACTAAAAATACCACAAGTACCACAAGAGGGCAAACAATGCAACCCATACCTTGTTAGGGAAAATAATCCAAGAAAATGTCTAGGTTCCCTAAACCAGATTATATGGGACCTGAAGCTTGTATAATTTAGGGAGCTTTCGTAAGTAAACTAGGTACAAAATTCAGTATGAAAATAATGAGAAAAGAAATCACCACAAATAATTTAAAATTATTTTAAGTTGACAAATACCACAAACATCACAATATCCAGGAAAAACTTACTATCATTAAGTAATTGCCTAAGACACCTCTATAAAATTTTTTCCTACATTAATCACCTCTTCATATGGCAACAATTTTATATTCAACAGAGAGAATAGAAACATAATTTTCTCCTTCCTCATGGCTGTGGAAATTACTTTTATTTTCATAGTTTAGGAAAGTTTCTTTTAGCTTTACAACTCCTTATTGGTAACACTGCATCTGCAACTTTCTCCAATGTTTTCATTCAGGAGGTGCTCCTAGCCTGGGGAAATGCCTTGATATTTCTGTTTAAAAATTAATTAATTGATTAATGGCTATCTCTGGATCAGTGTGACTATGAATAACTTTCTTCCATTTACTTTTTTTTTTGCGGTACGCGGGCCTCTCACTGTTGTGGCCTCTCCCGTTGCCGAGCAACAGGCTCTGGATGCGCAGGCTCAGCGGCCATGGCTCACAGGCCCAGTCGCTCCGCGGCATGTGGGATCTTCCCAAACCGGGGCACGAACCCGCATCCCCCGCATCGGCAGTCGGACTCTCAACCACTGTGCCACCAGGGAAGCCCTTCCATTTACCTTTTTTTCTAGAATTATTATTTTTATAATAAGAACAGTAGGCCATCATAGAAAAAAAAAGAATACTTTATCTTCCCTTAAAAGCAATTTATTGAGCTTTCCTGGTGGTGCAGTGGTTAAGAATCCACCTGCCAATGCAGGGGACACAGATTCAAGCCCTGGTCTGGGAAGATCCCACACACCGTGGAGCAACTAAGCCCATGCGCCACAACTACTGAGCCTGCGCTCTAGAGCCCGTGAGCCACTCAGTCCACACACCACAACTACTGAAGTCCTCGTGCCTAGAGCCCGTGCTCCGCAACAAGAGAAGCCACCGCAATGAAAAGCCCGCGCACCACAACCAAGAGTAGCCCCCGCTCCCCGTAACTAGACAAAGCCCACGCACAGCAACAAAGACCCAATGCAGCCAAAGATAAATAAATAAAATAAATAAATTTATAAAAACCAATTTATTGATCTATCTAAACGTATTTGCCAGGTTGTGCCCAATTTCCAGTTTCTAAAGTCTTCACCTCTCCTCAACTGAGATTTCTTAACCATCAAATGCAATCCCAATTTCTCTAAGACCAGTTATTTAATTGTAGGAGCTTTAGTATGAAAGCTTGAAGATGTTAACATCAGTTCACCTTGCTTATTGTCTAGTACACTAACTCTGGTAAATTAAACCTATTTTGACAACTTGTCTAATAGCTTAATACCTATAAGAATAGGAGTCTACATTGCTCTTGCAAATTCCATGTTTCAAGAGATTCTAGACAAGGGTTATCAGGTAAAATACAGGATGCCCAGTTAAATTTGAATTTCAAATAAATAACAAATAAAATTTTAGTATAATTATGTCCCAAATATTACATGTGACATATACTAAAAAATTATTTGCCCATTATCTGAAATTCAGATTTTACTGGGCATCCTATATTTTTATTTGCTAAATCTTGCAATGTTAGCCTAGATTCTAAACCTAAGCATAGAACCAGTTAAAAGATCTTCAACAGATTACCAACTGCCTACTTGGGTTTTCAAATGTCTTCTGCTCCTGGATTTTCTGTTGTTATATTCCAACTGTCTGACAGATCATTTATTATTTCAAATTGGAATATCCAATACTGGCTGCCTATCCATATTACAATCCGTTACCTAATTCTCTAATGTCTATCAGAATGCATTTTCTCCTAGCACTTGCAGCTGGAACTATGTCTCCGAGCCCATCTCAAACCACTGAATAGGCCTAGTTTGAAGCAGTGGTACTGAAGAAAGAACTGACTGGTCCTGAGGAAACTAGCATGAGTAATAAAAACAATACTAAATTTTTAAAAGTAAAAATACTGTTTTGTTGTATTAACCACTTTATTAAAAGTTTCCCCCTTTTTAAAAAATATGGTATCTTCATCTACTAAAAGTGAAGGTGATGTTAACTTCACAGGGTTGTTGTAAGGATCATTAAAATAACATAACAAAGCACTAACCAATGACTGATATATGATCTGGGGTTGGTGTTGTTTTCCAACACTTTGTTTCTAAAATTATTTCTCTCAGTAGTTTGCCACTTAGCCCAAAATACTAAAGTCCAACCTAAAAAAATAATCCATGTCCTTTATCTGTTCATTTTTTTCGTATTATTTAGACATTAAACTTAGATATTTCTGGCAATGACCCAAAAGTACCCTCACCATCTTTTTTTTTTTTTTAATAAATTTATTTATTTATTTATTTTTGGCTGCGTTGGGTCTTCTTTGCTGTCACAGGCTTTCTCTAGTTGTGGCGAGCGGGGTCTACTCTTCGTTGCGGTGTGCGGGCCTCTCACTGTCGTGGCTTCTCTTGTTGCGGAGCACAGGCTCTGGGCGTGAGGGCATCAGTAGTTGTGGCTCGCGGGCTCCTGAGCGCAGGCTCAGTAGTTGTGGCACACGGGCGTAGTTGCTCCGCGGCATGTGGGATCCTCCTGGGCCAGGGCTCGAACCCACATCTTCTGCATTGACAGGCGGACTCTTAACCACTGCGCCACCGGGGGAGCCCTTCCCTCACCATCTTACCATATGCTTATGATTTCATTCTCTGTCTTTCTTATTCCATCCTATTTACCTTGGAGCTGATTATCTTACTGGGGTAAGGCTGAGCATTCTATTTGGTTCTCAATTCCTAAATATATCCGACATTTTTTTTTCATTTATTTTTTTTAACATCTTTATTGGAGTATAATTGCTTTACAATGGTGTGTTAGTTTCTGCTTTATAACAAAGTGAATCAGCTATACATATACATATATCCCCATATCTCCTCCCTCTTGTATCTCCCTCCCACCCTCCCTATCCCACCCCTCTAGCTGGTCACAGAGCACCGAGCTGATATCCACGTGCTATGCGCCTGCTTCCTACTAGCTATCTATTTTACAGTTGGTAGTACATTTAGATACAGTTATTCTTGACTCTTTAACTATTGTCAATTAGATCATTAATAATCCACAGCAAAATCATAAATTCATGGTGATAAATATTTACAGAAACTTCATTATAACATGAAGTATTCTTTGGAAATATAATCACTACCAAATTTACATATTTTTAAAGTTATATATGGCATGTTCTCTTCTTTTATAAAACACAGCTAATATCACTATAGTTAGTTATTAAGTATATAAATTTCCTAAATATAATTCTGTTTAAGAAAGGAAGTATAGATAGAGGAGGAGGGAAGGGACTAAAGGAGGAGATGGAAAGGAGAAGAATGAATAGAATAAGAAAAATCTTAAGTAGACTCACCTCCAACCACTCTTGCTTCTTTCAGCATTTAATTGAATAGATGTAGACACAGAATCTTGACTTCTCAGGGGATGAGAAACTGAATGTGGTATTTGCCTTTCAAGGAAATATGTCTTATTAACTATTAATAATTTGTTCCCCGATTGAGAAATATAAAAATATAAAATATATATAGAAGAATAACATCAGTCTGTAACAGACACATACATTCATTGGTATATATTTTTCCACATACCCTGTGTTCACTGTTTTCGTTAAAGGAGGCAGCTCTGGATTCATAACTTCCCAGGCCCAATCTGAAAAGATACAAGTAATACAGGTAAGAGTAAGATAGGGAGCATTTTTTGAAATAATTCTTTCATATTTATTTAATATGTGGGGGGAGGCAGTTGAAAGTTTGAAGGAGAAAAGGACTTGAATATATGGACATGTTCTTCAATAGTACTTTGTTGTGGAATTTGTCATAGGCTGCCTTATTAATTTTTTAGATGTCTTTCTTTCCCACTGTATTCTAAGCAAGGTAATAGTTTAATCTGTATCTCTTCCACAGTCAATCCTAGTATAGCACCTTGTATTTTGTAACATAAACTCAGTGTAGTCAATGTTTCTTAATCCCAACCCACAGCAAGAAATACATCGAAACCCGGAATATATACAGGCATGGTGTGCATGTGTATGCGCGCACGTGTGTGTTTGAGGGAGAATATAACAATTTTACTATCAATTCTTATTCTTACTATATGATATACTGACACTTTCTATTCTATTCTTTTCTATTTTATTCTCTTCTATTTATTTTTTAAAAGGTTGGTTATTTCCTAACCTACTAATGGATCAAGAAAAAGAATTTGAAAAACACTGATCTAGTCCTATCTCTTGCCCAATATAAGAATCTTGTTATATCTCTGACAGATTGTAATCCTGGTCAGAGTTTGAAAAGTTCAGTACTTCAGGAGGATGCACACTTCCCTATGGAACAACTCAAATTGTTATTTTTCAAGATCATCTATCATCCATGCTACTTATAAAACTATTTTAGAGAACTTTTTAAATGGCAGAAGATGACCACTTATGCATATCCATGTGAATTTTTAATTTTTTATCCATAAAAATGAGAATAATATGAAATTCATACTTCCAATTCCTCAAATGTGGAAGAAAACAAAATAACTATAGATGTAAAAGTAGACTAAGGTCTATGGTTGCACAAGGATTTTTAAATTCTAGTTGCATAAAATCCTATTAAAGATTTTTAAGTGTGTCCCCTCAAAATGTAAATGTATATAACCAGCATGTACCAAGTATATTTCAGACTGTCTGCCTGTCCATGCCTTCTTCCATAGAGAAGTAAAAAGTAAGCAAACATTAAGACCTTTCAGCACAAACCACCACAGCTAATTGTTTCAGATATGAGAGGCTAACCATAAAGATAAATTAGGATTTCAGTGACCTCATTTAATATGAGCTGAAGCAGAGGCTCTCTGTCTCTAGAATCTGAATCAAGAGAAACAGAGGGCAGCCAATGATGAGCCCTGAGAACTAGAACTAAAAGGTTATGTTAACACCAAGCAAGAGCAATTTAGTTCACACGCCAGTCACCAGTCGAAGCTATAAGGCAGCCAATGGGATGAAAGAGTGAAAAGCCAATAAATGAAAAAAGGCAAAAATTATGTAAGAAGAGAAAAAAGACTAGGGGCAAGCACTAGAAATTCCTGGGCTTCTACCCTTCCTAAAGTCTACTTTCTTCCATTTTTCCCGTGTTCCCATTCACACTTATCCTTATTCCTGAAGGAACTTGAGTTTCTCCATTCTTTATCACCAAATGTTTAAGTCACAATATCTATACGTGTTTTGAAAAAGAAAAAAAAAGCTTTACAATATAGGTTACTACTTCATTAGAACAAAGGCTCCAGATTTAAGATACTCCATTTAAATGCTAAGACACCCTTGTAGACAAGGAAACTCAAACTACTGTACTGGAATGTTCAGAAAGAACCAAGTAATCCCTATAATTGGATAGTGGAAAGAAGAAAAAAATAAACTTTCTATTTCCATTATAATAAAATAGAAATGGTAATTTTCTATAATCCTATTTCTTATTTTATGAAAATTTTCACCTTATTTTCTTACCTGTTGGTAGAGGAGGGAAATCATAACTGTCAGAAGCAGTACTGATACCTGGATCATTTTTAAGTGGATTGGATGTTAATGGCTGTCTATTCCTCTTTTTCTGATTGAACAATTGTACGGGCAAACAGCCTAAATTGAATGTACCGATAAATAAGTACATAATAGGCAAATAGATCTAGTTATAGACTAATTACTAGTATATAAGAATACACGATTTGAATTTGTCTGCTTCTATACATTAATTTTATATTTATTACAGATATATTTCTATAGATTTGGAATTTTTTTACACTCTTTTTAAGATCCCGAATAGCCTTGTCTCTCTAAAAACTCCTTTCTTGTTCTGTGTTGACACTGCCTTAATTCCTCTTGTTTGGCAGTAATTCCCATCTCCTCCCTCATCCCCCTACCCTTTCCAAATCCACTTTTTGTTTTCCTTACTTCCCTCCTGTGCTTATCACCATATCAACTGGAGGGGACACTTCAAGTACAACAGAGGTAAGGGAGAACCAAAATTTGACCCATTTTGCTTTCCAAAACCCTAACCACTCTCTGACTGTGGTAGCATACCCTTTAAGGCCATGGTTCTCAAACTTTACTGTGACTAAGATTTATCTGTGGTTATGCTTAACATGCCAGTTCCTAGACCCCACCCTCATAGATTTTATTTCAATCGACTTGCTTTGGAAACCAAAACTCTGCAATTTCAACAAGAACTCCAGGTGTCTGTAATGCATATTTTCTGTGGATCATTTTGAGAATGACTTAGAGTGATAGTAATAAATCCAAATGAGAATAAACACTACTCCAAACCCTCCAGTTGAGGGACCTGGGATCTCAAGTCAGGTCAAAAGTCAGAACACTAAAACTAGAAGGGATCTCAGAGGAAAAAGAGGTCCAGAAAGCTTACACATTGACACAGTGAAAGAACCTAGATAGGGCCCACACTTCCTAACTCTCAGTTCAGATATCTTGCCACTATACCATACTCTAGTTGGTCCATCAACACTTACACTTACATGAGCATATAGATTCTGGTAACTGTCTGATGAACGGCTGGGAAAACGATGTGGGTTCAGACTGTCTGAATTTGAATTACAACTTCAAAGCATGTTTCAATTAAAATTTAAAGTACAAACTACGGCTATTTCCTTAAACTCATTGTGCCAATATGGCATATAGTGAGAGGCAGAATTCTATAGTGATTAAAAGGATGGAGTCTAGGTTCAAATCCTGGCTCTTCCACTTCATAAATCACTTATTTAACCTCTTTGTGCCTTCGTTTCTCATCTAGAAAACAGGGATGATAATAATAACTCTCTCAGAGTTAAATAAATTAACATATAATTAAATGCCCAGAATACAGTACACCCCCATAAATAATAGCTATTATTATCTTCATTGTGCATTATCATCATTCCTTTGGTTCTCTTCATTCTTGCCCTCTGTCCTTATACTAACAAATTGGGAAAGCAGAAATGGCAGGGGAAGCTATTAGGGAAACAGAAGCACTTCTGAAAATATTTTAAATAGTCACAAATAAAAATTAAAATATTATTAATTTCTTTATTTTCAGCTTAAAAAGCACAAAACAACTCAAGCACATGGGATTTGTAGAAAGAATACAAGAGTAAATCCAGGAAAGTCTGATTTTACTTCCACCTAAGCCACTAAGTGTTTCGTCTTGAGTAAGTTATTTTACTTCCTTCGACCTAAAAAGTAAAGAGGCTAGACTAATGTTCATTCTTTTTAAAAGTTCCTTCCAAAATGTTGCATCTATATACCATACAAGGTTTACATAGTGTATACAAACTATAGAAATTAAAAAAATAAAAGTCAGTCGGTACCTGCTGTATTCCGAGTTGAATTTTCATTGATGTTTCTCTTCATTTCCTTTAATATCAAAGTCTATAATTTTTTCTTTAGCGCTCCAACTTTACAACGTGGAGTTGTTCGACTAAACCTTCAAAGAAAGAAATCTATACCTTGTATTGTATCAACAACAAAATCAAGTTCTCAGCCTAGTAATTACTGAAATTATGGTTTAAACCTATGGTTTCAAACCTGATAATGTAAACTCTCTGCCAAACTCTTTTGCTTTCTGAGTAAGAATTTACAGCATAACCCATTTTTCCAAATCTGTTTGAAATAAGACTAGTGTGGCTATAATCTTGCTTCCTAAACATATGTGGATTTTCACAATAAAAAATAATTTATTTCAGAATCAAGGACCCACAATGAGAATAATTCTGAACCAGATCTACAAAGAGGGAGAGGGACTACAACATTGGCAAACAAACTTACAAGGCCAGGGAGGAAACATACACAATTGAACTAGCCATGTGAGAACGTATTCTGTGTCTCACTTTTAAAACACTGTGCAGATCATCTGCTTTGGCCATTAGTTTGAGATCCCTGGATTACATAATGCCAAAGACTAAGGCCTCACTTAATATCCAGAATAACTGTACTGATAAGTTTCCACTCCGTTTCTATAACTTAAACAAGTGAAAGAAGATTTTTTTGTTTTTGCTTTTACCACAGAATTTCTGTTGTAGTTTTTTTCCATGTTTAGCCTCTTATATTTTGATCCCAATTTAATTCAATAAATACTTGCCTATTTCATGAAAAGGTAAGATTCAAATCTAAATAAGATCATTTCTGCTCCCAAGTTCTCTGCCCCATGAGACAAATAGACATGAACACCACTGAGTAACAATGCAAATCATACTGAGGTGCATATGAATTTCCAAATATCGTTTCTAGAAATAAAACTTGGGAAACATGAGGTCAGGGGCTGCCCCTGCTTTGTTTCCACAGATTGGTCGTGAACCTGGATATAGTATGCCCTTTAGAAAATATTCTTGATGCCGTTCTAGGAACCAAAACAGCTTATGTGACCTTTTCTCAGCCCAGAAATACCAACGCAACACACATCCTGAGCTTAGAGGGGGACGACAAGAGACTCAGGCAAACAAAAGCGCCACATCCTCCCCTGGACCACTGACCCTGGGGGCAGGGGCCCTGAGGTGCCCCCCACTCCGGCTTCCCACTGGACCCTAATTACATTAAGGCGGGTGGTGACATCGATGTGCAGAAAGTTTGCTCAATGCGCACACAGGCACACACCCTGCCCCAAAGACCGTTGCCTCAGAAGGAGGCCGTCGGGCCTACTTGGGCGCCTCTTGGGGAAAAAACATCAAGCTCCAGTCAGGGCTCATGTTCTCTCCCAATGATCTCTCCTGAGCCAGGGATCGCGGCAGTTTGGTAACTAGGGCCCACACAAACTCTTT